GGTCCAAGAAGTATGAGGGTGATTATGAATGGCAAATTGGGAGAAACAGAAAATGAATTTATGCTCAGTTGGCAGTCGAAGTTTCTCTAATTAAATCGAAATAAAAAATTCACAGCTCCTCTCACATGAAGTTATACAGGACGTTTATAATGTTATTGACGAGTTTATGTCTCTGCGCTTCACCGCGACTGCTCCACTGCCGGCCGCGAAGCGCAAGCGAATTTTGCCGAAGGCTCAGCATGCTTTACGGCCGATAACTTATGGAATGAATGGACAAAAATTTCGACGTAAATTTCGTGAGAAAAGAGTTCCCAGCTACAAGCAATTCATAATTTGGTGAATAAACTTAAAACAACGGTACTCTTAAGCACCGAATGTTTACTGAGAAGTCAGATTACAGAGGCCAGACTTGGACACACACCTAGAAAATCACTGAAATGTCTAGCTCATGAGACTGGAGTATCAAAGTCTAGTGCAGGAACTGCAAACAACTGCTGAAGCCATCCAGTTAAAGATGGTGTCTGGGGTGCTGTAAGTGCAAGGAGGACTGTTGTACATATGTTACTAATGAAACAATTAATTCCGAAATAAAGACTTGCCTTCATTCCAAATGTTATCGGCATGCTGAGTCATCGGCAAAATTCACGTGCGGTTCGCGGTCGGCTGTGCACCGGTAGTGGTGTAGCGCAGAGCCGTGAACGCGTCAATTTCCTTAAAAAATGCCCTATATATGTATATATATGACAAGAATAATTATGAAGCGAAACCTTTCCCGTGTGGCTAAACCAAACACTGATCTATGAACGATTAATGACACATTTCCGGTCATGTAACGTCAGGTTTCCATGACAGTGAATATTCAAATTACATGAAGATTGATAGGAGGGTCACAACATTTCGTAAGAACCTACTGTATCCATCTTCTAGGCTACATTTTAGCCGTGTGTTTTGGTAAATGTGTACTAACGTTTCGAGGAAACTGTTGCTTCCTTCTTCAGCGATGGCCTGAAGATGGAGGCAGCAGGCACCTCTAAAACATTGGTACTAATCTACCAAATTATACGGTGTGTTAGCCCGGAATACCGTGATGTAAATTCTTCATGACATGTTAATCAGTATATTATCTCTCCCTCTGACATAAATCAAGGCAAGTGAGTTTATTCAGGTCTGTAAACCAAACATAGGGAATCCCATGTAAATAGACAGACAGAGGGAGTGACAGAAGCAGAAATTTTGAGACACTACGAAAGAAAGTCAAGTAAAGCAATCACAGTATAGTCAGATCACCTAAAAACACAAGTTCGAAGCAGATGCGGAAACCGTTAGCCCTCTACAGGCGGCGGTATGCAGTACCAGTTCACAAGGCGCTCAGAACGGCAGCATAGTTCAGAGCTGCAGTAAGGGACGTCGAGGTGCAGATTGAAGCAGTTCAGTGAGAATGCAAATGGCGTCAATACAGCAAATGTGATCAGATAAATTTAGAAACGTACACATTCATTAAGCCGGTCACGGTAGCCGAGCTCTCTTCGCTCGCTCGGAAGCGGGGATCCTGGGTTCGATTCCCACTCAGGGTATGGATGTTTGGTGTTTGTGTATAGGTGTAGGCCTTGCGACGAGCCGATCACCCTCCCAAGGAGTCCTACCTTATGTGTAAGATCTAGTAAACCGAAGTGAAACGGAGAGTTTCATGGAGGTAGGCCAAGACCCAAATTGGGGCTGTAGCGCCAAAGAAAAGAAATCATTCACCAGCTGTGTGTTGCTGTTCAGGTGTTCTAGCGTCCAGTAACAGGATTAATGAATAATTAATTGAAAATGCTGTGGAAGGCAGCAGCCATTGCCTAATTTCTGATATATGCAAGCAATTTACCACGATAAACTTCAGTTAGAATAGCCTGTCTGTAGGCCGATGTTGGACCCAAGGCCCTCTCGAACACGAGACAGACGCGGTCGATGAGATAAATCAGCGACTGCAGAAGTTTGTGGCACATAACCGAACCGCGTCGTCATGGTCATTGCGGTTTCCCGGCTACAGAAGTTGAGTCCGCAATGAATTCACAAAAATAATGTTTTGAATGAGGATTCGGAATTGTAAAGCAGAGTTAATCCCCGGAACTGGGGCCATGCTTACGGTAATTCTCGAACAATAATATTTCAAGTTCTCTATATCTCGCAATTTTTAAGTTTTGTAAACTTTAAAATGAATAAAAATGAATAATTCTACTGGTGGGAGCCGTTATAGCGCAGTCGATATAGCGATTGGCTATGGACGACCGAGAGGTCGGAGTTCGAGTCCCAGTAGGGTCAAGAATTTTCTCCAAGTCGTCCACATCGGCTCTGGGATCCACCCAGCCTCCTATCCAATGGGTACCGGGGGCTTTTTCCCCGGAGGTAAAGCGGCAGGGGCGTGAAGCTGACCACTCACCTCCAGCTAGTGCTGAGGTCAAGAAAATGTGGATCTATACATCTACTCCTCCATACAACTTCATGGCGTAGTGCTTAATTGGTTAAGCACAGGGACAACTTTACTGTTTGACCTTACTCTTACTGGTATTTGCATATATTGTATAAATAATATGAGACTGTCTCAGCATTTAACATTTCTGATAACACTAAGAAACAGACATGAAGTTCACAATTGCGTTATGAGAAGAAACGTTTGTTATTATGCAGTTGTAAATCTGCCACAATCCCATTTTTTCCAAAACAGTGAAGACCAGAATATAAAACACATATGCTCCCAGTTTTTTTTTTATTTATCGGTGTGAAATTTGGTCTCTTACTTTCAGGGATTAACACGAATGACAAGTGAAATAAAGGGATCGGTTAAGTGTTGGCCCTAAAGAGGAAGAAGATACAAATTCCGGGCATTATCCGACGCACCAAAAATTTCCCGATTCATACAGATCGCCTCGGTTTAGGTACGAAAAAACATAGTGTGCTTAAATGCTATAGAAATTTGGCTATCGTAGAGAACAACATACAAACTGAGAATGTAGAGAATTTAAAGTAAATATATTATATTTACAATTAAGTAAATTTTGCTAAATACTTGTATGTCACTGTTTAAACCATGTAATCTGAAGTTCATATACCAGTCTAAGTATATTCATTGCACGAGAAAGAATAAGACCTGATCTACAAATTTCTCACTTACAATTTTTGGTTGAATGTGATAATCCAAGAAACTAATTAAAATTCATATATTTTATTTAACACTACTCTGGTTTAGTCTGTTTTAATTAATGTAACTGTTTCACTTTTGATAGGTATATCGTGCAGTTCATTACTATCTCACTCATGGAGCTGAGCCCTTCTTGAGGAGCTGCCAACTCTGCAGCTATTCAAGAGTTTCCCAGCATTTTATGGAACCCGAAGTTTCGTTACCGTCTTAACAAGAGCCCTCCACTGGTCAAGATCAACCCACTTCATACCATCCCATCTTATCTCTCTAAGATCCATTTTAATATTGCCCACCCACCTACGTCTTGGTCTTCCGAATGGTCTCTTTCCTTCTGGCTTTTCCACTAATATCCTATATGCATTCATCTTGGGTCCCCATTCATTGCTGTCTGACGACAGTATTTTATTTTTTATTTATTTCTATTAAAACAGTACACATGATAGTGTGACATAGGTGTGACAATAGGTTCAGTTATACCGTCCGAATAGTAATACTTTAAAATTCGTAACACATTCTTCATAGTAATAAATTTTGCGTAATAATTATTATGGTAAGGTTAACAAAATTTTTATAGAGGTTATTAATTGTCCTATAGCTTTTCTTAGTTAGTTTTAATAGAATTATTTTCTTAAATTACATACAACGTAGATTTGTCACCATTCACTTAAATTTAGAATTATAATTTACAGCACCGAAACGTCATCCGAAATCTTGAAATATAAACATATATCGACCTGTTTACTCAGCCTTTTAACCATACAAATAGTTCTTCCACATCATCAGTATAGTATCTCGTAGGCATGCCTTTATTCAAGCCATTCCAGGCGTAGAACAGGTTGCTCTAATTGCATTCCGTAGAAAAAGTATCATCACTGCTTATTGAGAAGACTCACGTGAGTGGTCAGGCATACAGACTCATACATCCAATACATTCCCCAGTGGTCAACGTCTTTATCTGTAAAACATGTTCTGGTACTAGTGAATGCCTAACTGTGAAATGAGAATGAGTTTGTCATGTTTTATATAAGTTAAATTGGTTACAGCAACGTTTGTTATCTCATGACGACTTTCAAGCATTATGGTTAGTATTGTAAAGTACTTAGTGGGGTGTGACTAAGTCCACTTGTTACTGCGGCCACTACTGGCCTATTGTACCAGCCCCAGATGATAGGTGAGGGTGACTGTGGAGCAATTGGTGGAATGAAGTGCTCCAGCGCCACTTTGTCCACCACAAATCCGACAGGACCAGACCCGAGCTCGAACCCGGTCCGCCTCTGTGGTAAGACAGCGACTAACCGCTTGAGCTATGACGCGGCCTATTGAAGGACTTACTTCGCCTGTCTGTAAACCGCGACATCAGCAGGCAGCAGACAATGTGAACACTCATCACGAGCTGACGGGGGGTGTGATGGGGCATATGTTATGTGTTGGGGAGTCTGCAACTCCATTAACGCTAATTAACTAGAAGAGTGTCATATTCTAATTCTTCCCCAGGCATGAATGTTGTGTCTATGCCTCTCGCATTACCAAATCGCCATCTTGAAGCATGGATTTAGTTTCAGCTGAAATTACGAATCTGGTTCAATAACCTCTCATTTTATCGTTCGCTCAGGTTTCACGGGATCAACTATAAAATGACGCTTATGAAAAATATTACATACAGGTTGTTACCATAAATCTGTTCGGAATCAACTTAGTTAAGCATGTGAACGTAGCTAGTAAAATTAGCTTAGGGTTAATAAGTTGGGCGACTCATGTTTCATCTGAAATCATGGACAACTGAGAACACAGTTCATTATATTCCAGTGAATTCACTCACCTAGCTGATTCTGCGCCTTCACTCGTTCACCGACTCGAACTGGAACCCTGAGGACGAAACCGTGACCTATTTTCAGGCAATGTCGCACCATTCCCTGAAAGAAAGAAACGAAATCAGCCAGCATATCGAGTACTAGAAAGTTTCTTTCATTTCGTGTGGTATTCGACATCACTCTGTGTTCCAAGCATCCAGCAGGGGAATTCCCTTTAACTCTGATAACACGTTCTTGATAGTAAATGGGAAACTGACTCGAGTATCAGCAGCACCGTCCGCAGAGAGTGTCACGGCCCCAAACTCAGCAGTTTTCTCATTGTATCTGGTGCTACGAGGGAGAGTATAAAATTTTAGGGTCTTTACTTTGCCTAAAGTCGGAAGCAGTAAAACCGGAGGACGATATAAACGCCCCTCATTTGCATGTAGCTCGCTTTTATTCTTTCTTAAGTAGCGATAATTCTGTGACACGTTTTGCATGGTTGCCCCTTTGAGAGAATATACCAAAGAACAACAACGATCTATACAGGGTTATTCATAAGTCAGTGAAACATTTTAAAAATTCACAACAAATGAACTATGCATCGGATCACGGTAATTCTTACGCCAACAGAGAATGAATCTCTCCAAGTCTTTTTGAAAGCCGCCATTGCCTGCTAATCTCAGGGATCTTCGCAACCGTATCACCGCTGCTGGGGCTCTAGTCAACCGTGATATGCTGACACGGGTGTGGGACGAACTGGATTATCGCATAGATGTCTGCCGTATCAGCAAAAATGGTCATACTGAGCATCTCTGAACTATATAAAAAAAACTTGGTGAGTTTATCTTTATTCTAGTATAATAAAATTTGGTATCCGTTGCGTAGTTTATTTATTGTAAATTTTCAAAATGTTTCACAGATTTATGAATAACCCTGTATTATACTTTAGCCGCATACTGTGTGCGTGTCGCCACTAGCAAGCAAATACAGGTAAAAGTGAAGTCAAAGCCTGACGATGGCTTAATGAGCTGAAACACGTTGTACGAAACGACTAACGTATCCTGTATCCACACTTCCTACTGTGGTGACGGAGTAAAATAAAGGAAGAGAGAAACAACGATCTACGATCGATACTGAAGCAGTATTTCAACATGGCCGGAGGAAAGTGTGCAAACAGGTGGAAGGCTTCTAACGGGCCCGAAAGAATCTTACTGAGAATGCACATCCTCGGCGTTATCCAAAATAACGTGTATTGAGGTTAAGGAGTGGATCTATCAACACATTCGGAACTTCGAAATGCTGCATATAACGAAACTGCGTCTGAAATGAAACAAGTAGTGCAAGAATGGATTAAGGCCCAGCCGAACCCATTTTATCCTAAGCGAATACGGAAACTCGTGGAAAAATATTTTACTTACCTCCGTATTTATTTGTTGGATTTTAATCTCCCTCGACTGTGATGTATGAAGGATAGTATCGTCTAGGATTTGACGCCGTGCAGTCAGGTACAAGTATACAGACGTTTCGGAGGTAAGCACTGCTTCCATCCTCGGGGTATAAAACAAAACTAAGAACGTAACCATTAAGAAGTAGATCCTCAGACTCTGCTTGTTGGTTGATTCTTTGGTTTATTTTTCAACTCCGAAGATGGAGGCAGTATTTTCCTCCGAAATATCGGTAAATTTGTATCAGGCTGCACGGTGTCACATCCCAGACGATACTAGGCTTCAAGTTATATTTTAATTTTCAGATTTTATTGTCATGACTGTAATGTACGACGGAATTACTTGTTACACGCCCACGTAACAGCCTGTTATTACAAGACATTTTAGCAGTAGCGCTCAGTTCCGCACGTCGAACGGTAAGCTTACTTTCTGTTCCTTGAGTACTGTATAACGACTCATAATAAACATAAATTTTAATCTATAAATTCAGCTCTGTGCCAAGTATCATAATACATGTAATCCTCTTGCTCGTTCTGGGGGATGTTTCACAGGCACCGACAGAAATGTATACAAGCGAAATAACGACAACAATGTAGTCCTCCCTGAGAAGGTTCGATCGATGAATTCTCCACCTTTACGGAAACCGAGGTTCATTACTAACTTCACCGTACCATCTTTAGCATGACGTCGTGATTGCACCTCGTGTAGATGCTCTGCCTGACAGAAGCTAATGATTTCTTTCTTCCTCTGCTTCTGTACCGCTTGGCCTGCCTGACATCATGAAGGGCTCTGTACTGTTGCGGCGACATCTGACACCGTCAGCGTATAGTGTAGACGTGACCCTTCGGCGCTTCTACTGCAAGGCACGAAGGAGTGCAAATATAAAACGAAAGCCAAGGGGAAAAATGGGATACTAAACTAGAAATGTAATGTTGAAGGAATGGTGAGTTTTCTGCTTAGAATAATATTGTTCTGTGTAGTCTGCATGCGGATATAAGACAACAGGTCTGCTGTAAGTGTCCCGAAGTGGGGGCAGCCATTTCAGCTAACGACTGTAATATTCAGACTAAAGCACATTGCACCAGAATGAGGCTTCTCACATTTTGTCGCAGAAAGAATGCTCTTTGGTAGCCAATATACATGACATAGCTCATGAAGGAATAGTACAAGGGGCTCAAAATTGAATTACAATGGCTCCGTAAATGGTTCAGTGACCGGCTTCTGTGAACGTGGTACCTGACCAAAGCTTCTCACGAAGAACTGATTCGTGGAACTAGTTTAGCCAGGAGCGAAGGGTTTACAGATTGCAACAGTCGAACCGAGAGGTTCCAGGTTTAATCCTACAATACCAAACCGCCACTGTAGGCCTTCAGTGGTGCTCTTCCTTCGGGATAACGAATACACACACATGCTGGCGCGTACGTATGTAGACATGCGTATATGAATATGACTCCCTAAGATCTCCAAAATAAGCGAATGTTCATCAAATACCTCTTTACTATGTAGTTCAGTAAAATTCTGACACATTTCGTATGCTTTTAGATGAAGAAAATTTACGAAGCCCACATTTTTCTACCCATCTTCCGTAGGCATACGGAGCGATGCTTCCGAAATGCGGCAGTAGCCTCCGCGTTTACGCACTTTATGTAATGACAGCTGTTGACTTTTTGCTCTTGGAATATCAGAGAAGTAGGAAATATGTGAAATTAAGTTAAAATGATACATCTGAAAAGTGTTTTTTTCAGCAGCAATGCCACACGCTTTCTCAAACCAGCAAATCCGGGAACAAATCCCATGCTTTATACTACAGTGTAATGCGAATTATGGCGCAAATACACTTATAGATGAACTGTAAGGTCGCGCCATGGCTCAAGCGGTTAGCCGCTGGCTTCCCACCGCAGCGGCCCGGGTTCGATCCCGGGTCTGGTCAAGTCGCATTTGTGGTGGACAAAGTGGCGCTGGGGCAGGTTTTCTCCGAGTACTTCGGTTTCCCCTGCCAGTCTTCATTCCACCAATTGCTCCACAATCACCCTCACCTATTATCTGGGGCTGGTACAATAGGCCACAAGTGGGCGCAGTACAAGGGACTTAGTCCCACCCCACTAGCAATAAAACAAATAGATCTTAAGGCTGACAACCTTACCGCCATCTGTGAGCAGACTGTCTAGAGAAAATGTGGGAGCCTCGACGTCTCACAACCCTATGGGCCTCCACGGCTTGTTACAGGGATAGCTTTACGTTTATTGTTATCTTTACTGTGCAACAATTTTTTATTGAATTAAAGAAAGTACATGGTGGATCTAAGTAGAGAATTCAGCACAGAATTTAACCGAGAAGTGGCATCAAAGCTCACTAAAATATACTTGAATTCCCAGGCCGCCCCCTACAATGGAATAGTCTCGCTCTACTGGTCCCCATCAAGCCTAAAGTAGCTAAACAAACCTCAAACTTTGAATCTCGTAAATGCGAGGCAGACATATTAGCACCAGTGTAGCTAGCTGTATAGAACAGAACAGAACAGAACAGAACAGTGGGGGAAAGATTTACGGTTCTGATTAATCCTATTATTGAAGTTTGATTACGACAGGAAGCGAAAGGGGACAAACAGAATTCCACGCTTCAAGAGCAGAAAAGCAGCAGAGGAAGAATAAAAAAGAAGCTCTCAAAGGCAATGCTACTCAGGGCTTAATCTCAGTGTGGAACGGGACTCGGGCTTCGTGCATGAGAACCGGATTGCTGTCCCAGTTCCTCTGAGGAGACTGTAAAACGTATTAAGACTTAAACTGTTATTAAAACAACACATTACGTTTATACTTTGTACGAGGGCGAGGACATTTCCTGAAATTAACAGTGACACAAAGAAGGAAAAAAGCAGCGTAAATTACCAAAATTGTATTCCGCTTTGAATTATACATTAGAGTTTGCAATTACACATCGCAGAGCGGGTATGACGCAGGGCCGTGAGCCTCTAAATTTTTCACAAATTGAGATATAAGTTGATGTCTGAAGCACGTGACTGCATTGCTTTTGTATTGTGGCACGGGAACGGTATACGAAAATAATTTCCGTCCGGTATGCGCGATATAAAGCCGGTCACGGTAGCCGAACGGTCTAAGGCATGCACTGTCTTCGCTCGCTCGGAAGCCGGGATCGTGGGTTCGAATCCCACTCAGGGCATGGATGTTTGTGTGCGTTTTTCTGTGTTTGTGTACAGGTAGAGGCCTTGCGACGAGCTGATCACCCGCCCAAGGAGTCCTACCGTATGTGTAAGATCTAGAAAAACCGAAGTGAACGGAGTTCATGGAGGTAGGCCTAGGCCCACTGGGGCTGTAGTGCCAAGGGGGAAAAAAATGTGCGATATAAAACCAATACTCCGGTCCATATGTGCTAACCAACAGACAAACCAGTTTCTTAGAACTTGGATGCTATTTATCGTGCTAACCTATCCTTAGTTGATTGGATCCAACCCATACCCTCACACCATACTTCATTAACGCCTATTTTCATTCCATTTTATTTTCTACGCCTATTCTCCAAAATGTTACTTTCCTTTCATGTTTTCATGCTAACATTTTATGTACGTTTCACAGCTCTCCCGTGTTTTCTTCATAACTAACCCATCTCTTCCCTTCTTAATTCGAGCTTCCTAACAATATTTGGTGCAGACTGTAAATT